AAACCTAATTGGTTCTTGGTTAGTAAACATTTTGTGGGATGCACAGCCTCACCATCTTAGCATCATTGGTCACTTCCAGAACAGACATTTTTAGGTGTCATCCAGAAACTATAATGTGACACAAAATAGAAATCGTTCCTATAAGTTTTTTTTTTTTTTTGTACAGTAGATGTTTTAATTAATCTTACTATTTATGCTTCTACAATAGCATTTGCTGATAGTAAATGGTGAGGTTTTGTGACTGGAGATATTTAAAGGACTAACAGCACATTGCATTGATGGATCACAAGGCAGTCACCTAACAGAAGAAAAAAAAACTTGCTGTTTGTTTGCACCAGTCATAACAATACACTGTAAAATGCTTGAGTAATGCAACACTGTGTGAGACTATAATAGATATTGACTTTTTTCCAACAGGGTTAGAAATGTCGACCTATATGCAGAAAAATCCTATCCACTCCCTTCCGACAACTAAATTGTCTGTTTTTGTTTTGCTCAGTACACAAAATAATCACTGGAAGAGCTCCTATAATTAAACTAATATTCCAGGTTAAATACAATTTAAGTGTGTAATTGCAGAAATAATGATTGTTTCCAAGCAGCTCCCCCATCTATCATTGGTCAGATAAACAGATAGCCCCGCCCAAAACTCACACCATCGGTTCAAACCGTAGATGGCACTTATTCACTAGAAGTCTGTGGCAGACAGTGGTTGCTTCATAGACGTTTAAGTGCATTTCTGTCAACTTACTGTTTACAACTTAAGGAGCCAATATTATTGAGCCAACATTATTTTGTTTCATGCTACAGATGCTGTCGCTAAAATTTAACTCTGAATATTATTTAACATACATTCATAAAGGACATTAATACATTTGGGACACACAGTTTAGAGGGAATAGCCCATTATACAGCATTAAACACATTTGTAAAGAAAGCAGATGGAGTATCTTATTAGGCTCATCATCATAAAAATTATATTTAATGCATAGCCAAAGGCAAACTATTGTATGCTGTGCCATTAGGGAGAGAATACAACACTCACTAGTAAAAACTAGTGCAAAGGCTAGCGAAGAGTGACAATCTCAATGTTTTGCAGCACAAAAGTTATGAATGATTAGTCCAAGAGGCAAATGTGTATTAAAAGGATAAAAACAAGGTAAAAGGATGTGCTTTGAAACTGTTTACAACAGGAGGCCAGTGGATTTGCAGCAGATAGGTGGTCCAGATGTTTGGTATGTAAAAAAAAAAAAAAAAAAATGATATTTTATTAAAAAAGCTGCAATGTAATAAACTGCATGTTATTATTATAAATAAGGATCATAGACTTCATTAATCAATCAAAGCCGTTGCTAAACTACAGATAAAATGTATCGTTATGTACTGTGTGGGAAAGAAATAAAGCTTTTAAAGGGATCGTTCACCCAAAAATGAAACATTTGTCATTTACTCAACCTAACCAATATGACAATTTTTGGAAAGAAAAAAAAAAAAAAAAAAAGATATTTTATTAAAAAAGCTGCAATGTAATAAACTGCATGTTATTATTATAAATAAGGATCATATACCTGAACAACTAAAACTCATTGTACACGTGCAAATATTATTTTTCATGAAGCATTCATTTACACCAGTGGTCACCAGCCTTTTTAAACCCAAGATCATTGACCTTGGCCTTTATGAAAGACAAGATTTACCTATTGAAGAATTTATAGATAACAACACCCCAGATTGGACTTCCAATATGAAGCCTTTTATTTAGTATTTTAATTAGTGATGTACAGTTCATCCAAAGACTAAAGTTCTATCACCATTTATTCACCCTTATGTCATTCCAAACCTGTGTGACTTCCTTCTGTGGAACCTATTAGATATTTTGGGATCTAAACCAACATTGGATCCCATTGACTTTCATTGTATGGCCAAAAGAAAAAAAAAAGTCATCTTTTTAGGGTGAACTATTCCTTTAATATAATTTTGGATCATTTTTTTTTCTTTTTTACTTCTATCTAAAACATTACGTACATTTGCACAGGCTGCAAAATAAACCTCTGGTGACTTAAAATGTTAATTGCTACTATGCAGAATAAGAATACTTGCACAGTGAGTGGTTGATCAAACCCAGCGGTCGTCATGGAAACACACTGACTCGAAGCATTTAAAATAGGAAGATGCTAAATGAAGATTGTCAGAGTAAGCGACACTTTAGTTTCAAACCCCACTTCCCCCCGCCAAAACATTTACGGCAAGCTGCTCCATGCAGTTGAAGGAAAGTCAGGCAAATGTGATTGCACCAGTGCGGCGTTATTCCGCAACATCACATTAGTTACCCTGCGACACAGATGACCCTGAAAATAAATGTTTAGCAGCTTTTAAATGTCACATCTCAGTTAGTCATGTTCGTCATTTTTGTACAATGCAGAGTCCTTTTGCGGCTACTACGGCGTGTCTTCTGGGAAGACTTGTGTAATGTGTCAGGGAAATGATAATAGGCTCGAGAACATCAAGGTCTCAGAGTAAACGTTGTCACATGAAGCCTTGAAAACAAGTATACGGGAAGTTCAGTAGATACTGAAACTTTAAATTAAAAGCTCAGTGTGTGTGTATTCTGAGGGTGTGATCCCAAGATAAGAGGGTGTTTCTGGATGACTGATCTGGAGAGGAACAGTGCTGGCGGTGTGGTGTAATTGGAGGTGCCCCTGTTTTGAGGAGGTTAACACACTTTGATTAATCTCTGATTAGCTTCTCATTCAGCTAAACAGCAGCTGCCACTGCCTCACTCTTTAATATGTTTACTACTTACACACTGACTTCTCCCACGCACATACACACAGCCTTTTGGAAACCATATTGTGCTTTTAAAGAACCCAGAACTGTCTTCTCTATACGCAGAGCAAAAGATCTACAAAATAATGTAAACATCTGGGAAATAATTTAACGTGTTTTACCACCATTTGCCTTTAATACAGGTTCTTAGAATATACAACCTCTGAAAAGTCACCAGTTAAAAGTTGTCTAGCAGAACATCTGCCAATTTCATTAGAGATGTTGGAGGAGGGAATCTGTGTCTTACTCTTCTCTCCAAAAATGTCCTTGGTGGTTTGATAAAATTTAAGTCAGGTGATTTATCTGGCCTGTTTATCTTGGTGCTTCAACTGTTCAGGACGATTTTACGATCATGAGACCATCTTTTTTTGCATTTTAGCATTGGTGTCTAACTCTGACAAGTCACCCATTTCACCCACAGTTTGTGCTAAACAGTCCTGAACACATACTACACTGATATACAACCTAGAGAATATAGGCCCGGTTTCACAGACAGGGCTTAGGTTAAACCAGGATTATGCCAGTTCAGTTAGGACATTTAAGTAGCTTTTATAAATATGCCTTAGATAAAAACGTAACTGGTGTGTATCTTGAGGCAAAACAATGAATCTGACATATTTTAAGATCACTCGATGCCAGTTTCTTTCAGTTGAAATAGCCCAGACATGCATTTTAGTCTGGGACTAGGCTTAAACCTTGTCTATGAAACCGGGCGATTAGACAAAAATAATAAGAAAACAATAATAATAAGGCAACACTTTAGCTTAGGGAACATTATGCTTTTTTAACTAGTTGCTTATTAGCATTCATTACTAGTATATTGGCTGTTTATTAGTACTTATAAAGCACATATTAATGCCTTATTCTGCATGACCATATTCTAGATCCGTTAATCCTACTTCATACCTGAACTTAACATCTACCTTACAAACTATTAATAAGCAGCAAATTGGGAGTTTATTGAGGGAAAACCCTTAGTTAATAGTGAATATGTGTTCCAAAAATAAGTGTTACAAAAAAATAATTGCAACACTCTCTTTTCATATTAACCCAGTAATAATGGGTGTTCAAAATATTTTGTCCAACTTGTGCATATTATAACATTGAGAAATATTTAGCCACCTCAAAAACTTAATACAAACAGTTTTTGATAAGATGCTTCTTTAATGTGCTGCAATCAAACACCAGAATCTCGTCTGAATGTTTACGAACAGTATATCGCTGCTTGCATATTCGGAACGTCTTTTTACCCCATAACTGAAGAATGAAAAAGAACTTTGCCAAGAACTTTTGAGTATATCAGGGCCTTGAGAGTAAAAGATCAATAAGTTTTCCATTTGCAAGGTTTTTTTTTTTCACTATATGAAATCTTGTAAAAACATCTTGTAATATCTTCTTCATATGAACAGCTCGTCAAATGCTAGCTTTGACGTTTGACAATTTTAAATAGATTTGTTGAGTTTCTATGGATCTAGAAAATAAAACGTATACAACGTCAATTCAATTTTATAAACTTGTTAAATGTAGGTTATAATTTTACAACCAGATGTTAAAGAACATGACTTACTGCCCAATCAGAGTTATTCACCACAATCTAAAAAAAAGGCTGAAGATGGGATTTCCTGACTTTCTTGGATGCATTAAAGATCGCATTTGTCATAGCAGTGCATAAATGAAAGTGATTTTACATATGCATGCTAAATCCAGCAAATTTTCTGGGAGCATGCAGTATTATACAGTAGACGATTTATTTTATTTCCCTTGGTGAAATCAGCTGTTCTTCTCTCTCTCTCTCTCTCTCTCTCTCTCTCTCTCCTCAATAGTGCAATGTTTATGGCTTCATTGACTAATCTTTAAAATCACCTTATAATGTGATTCAGCAGGTTATCAAATTTTGGGCACTATCTCATCTGAGGGACAAAGCAGCTTACTCAGCATGTTTTATAAGCATTTAAGTAGCGATTATTGTTTCATTCATTAGTAATGGCTTAATTTAAGATGGCTGTTTGGGATTAGCTCTTAGATCAAAGTTCTTGAAAAGTGATTTTCACCAACGGCTTAATCCCATTATAGAATACCATTGCAGCATACTAATTAAGTTTCATCAATGTAAGCATTATTCAGCTCATTAAGAGAGTGACACTCACTGTGCTTTTGTTTTTCTGTTTTTACAGTTATCTGTCTTGTTGGACTTGGTTTAGTGGTGTTCTTCTTTAGCTTTCTTCTGTCCATCTTCAGATCAAAATATCATGGTTATCCTTACAGGTAAGATTTACCTTTAAGTTAAGATCTATTACTGTTCAAACTCACTCTTGTTGCACTTAAGTATTTGTTCTTGTGTTAACTGAAATTATGCTAAATGAACAGTAACTGTTTATTACCTTTGTTGTCCCACAAACAAAAAAAATAGTTTACAATACCTAACTAATTACAATTAGTTGAAAGTTTACCAGACAAAACTTGAGCACTGAATTAAACAATTAAATGTTAAGCTAGTAAAAGATATATGATTCGCTTCATATACCCACCCTGAGTTATTGTACCTATTTGCAAAGTACTGTTTAAATGGAGCATACTTCAAGATGAATTACATCAGTAATAAACAATTTCATCTGCTTGGAACTGCTAAATGGCAATTTGATCAACTTTACAATTCAAACAATGAACAATTATTATTTTTGTTAGAATAACCTCTTTTTAACAAACTACAAGATGCATATTCACACATTTAAACGGTTGCTGATCCCATAGACATTACTTAAAAGTGCATTTCTGTAAATGGCACAATTTTTTTGGAAGGTAAAAATGTATTACTATTATTGCTATGGTAATATGCAACAGCAGAGATAGTGATTTTGATTAAGTGATTTGCATCATTTGATTCCATTTGCAAAAAAGTTTCACTCACTGATTCGTTCATTGACTTGCTCATGGATTTGTTCAGTGATTCATATTTCAGTTATAATCAATAACCAATTTCAATCATAACCACAAACAGTTTCTTTAATTTTTAAAACGTGTATATTAGTGTTGTCAAAAGACCTGGTACTTCGGTACTAAAAAAATGAAAACGTTACGGTACCAGGTTTTTTTAAGTATCGGTGGTACCGAGTACCCCGTCAACTCGGTTCTTGATGCTCTATCCGAAATGTGCGCAGATGTGCCCTCTTCATAAAAGCACTGAGACATGGCGACCTCAAAATGAGGAAACAGATTAAACTAACAAAACACTTTAAAGACAGACACCCGGATCAAATGAAAGATTTCAAGCAGGTAAGTTTAATTTCATCCCATACATTGATTTATTTGTGGTGGCCAAACTCACCACCACAAATAGATTTTCCAAAAGGCTTTGACTTCATTGAATAAACATGAGCACTGCACATGTCAAAGTCGAAACCCGGTGCGGGTGTTTTTATATCACTGTATTTATGAAGGAAACCAACTGTCTTCAGAAAATTATGGATGCCATTTTCATTTCATCTTGCATGTAATGCCTGAGCAGTGTTTGTGAGCGCATGGCTTATTTGATTACAGCCGTTACTGGGGAAACCTCTATATCTCCCGCTCTACAAACGCCTCCTGCTGGCAGAGAATGAATTTGCATATATATGCCGCCACAAATAGAGTGCAAGTCTGTGGGAAACACCGCTTCTGTTATCAATATTATTCAATATTTTAATTTGAATGTCGCATCGAAATGAACATTGCTGTTATTAGAGTAGTTGTTAGCATAA